AAGGAGGGGGGAGGGAGTGGAACAGGGACAGGGGGAAGACGAACGGCGGACGCACGACGTGGCGGCCGTGACGAGGGACGCAGACGTCTTTAACATGACGATGTCGCCGCCGCAGAATTTTACAGATTTCCGTGACGAGGGACGCAGACGTCTTTAACGTGACGATGTCGCCGCCGCAGAATTCACAGATATCATTGGACGAAATCCTGATGTCATGGCAGGTTCACACCTTTGGGTCTGTCTTCGTCCAGCTAACATTAGCACAGACTCGCTATACCCGTGATTCTCAACCACTGTGGCGTGGCCCACGAGTGTGTCGTAAGAGATCACAAGGTGTGCCGTATCAAATCCCGATTAATTGGTCCCAAAATAATATTTAATTTAATTACTGCTTTGTTTGTGTGACAGGCAGCCGATTAATTGGTCCCAAAAAAAATTTTTCACCAATTAAATTATCTTCCACTAGGTGGCAGCAGATGGCAGTGAAAACAAAAAAATCCCTAGTCAAATCTGTTGAAGATCTTTGAGTGTCTTTCTTCAATTCCTGCCTGTACATCAGCGTTGTCTTCAACTAAACAGGAGTCCGTTAAACTCTGCTGGGCCACATACGGTCGGCTTCTGGTCCGCGGACCTCGAGTTTGACATCCGTGTTTTAGGTGATTTTATATATTTCTTCTTCAGGTGTTTATTTTTCTGTTTTTTAAATGGACACGTTTTTTATTTAAAATCAACATCGGTACGATATATTACGACGAATCGCGTATATATTTCGTTAAATCGATATTTTCCTGACACAGTATCGTCACGCTGTCTTCACCAGCTTCTACTCTACGTTAACTAGCGTTAACTACGACCTGCGACAACAGCAGGAAATCGTCTTTTCTGTTTGCGACTTTACAACTGTAGGAAAACTGTCCAAAACAAAACAAATGGGCCACATACGGTCGATCTTTTTTTTTTCTATTCTCTCCTACATTTTTTTCACTCCTCCCACACAAAGTCTGAACGATCAGAGGGAAAGCTGTGGATTCTTGTTGATTTTTTGCTGTTGTATCTTGTTATGTTGAACAGCGCTGCCTTCAAAATGTTGATTTTTTTTCTCTAAATATAGATTTATAAAATATTCTTTTTCCACAGTTCAAATTGGTTCTCCCTGCAGCGGAGCTCAGATTCAGTTCTCACTGGGATCAGGAAATGTTCAAGTCTGAGGAGACGGGGTGAGGGTGGGGGTGAGGGTGAGGGGGGGAGAGAGAGAGGAAGACAGAGATGGTGTTTGTCCCACAGTTGTCAGTCAGAAGTGATTGCGGCCCAGAGTTGGACCTTCTCCTTATCTTTGTCCTCCTCCTGTTCTTCTACACCGCTGTGATAAACACAGCTAACAAATGGGAAACATTTTCTTAATGTTCTTCTTCCCTCGACTTCATTTTTCTTTTTCTTTTCTCCCTACTTTTTTTTATATATATGTTTTTTAATTTTTAATTTTATTTTTTTCATTCCTTGACGCCAAAACACAGAGGCTGCTGTGAATATATTGATATGAATATGTATATATTGACGTCGGTGACGGTTACACTCCTGGTGGAACTGGACTCAGCTAAAGCCCCGCCCCTCCTCTCCCAGCGTCCCTTGCGAGAGCTAAAGCTCTCAGTGAAGTGAACTTGCTAACTAGCGTAGCAGTTGTGGCCAAGTCCTGATTAGTTTTTACTGCTCTGTGCCGCGGGGCGTTGGCGGCGGCGGTGTCCAAAACCCAATAAAAACAAATCAGCCGGTCACATCGTCCCCGCACTCGTGCGTGAAAATGCTCG